TTGTGAAGGACCTGCCTAGCATGGGCCAACAGGCCTATTGCAGTGTTCCTCCTTTATGTTCTTATATGGGCACGGCATTTTCTAGGGTGGTCAAATTTTCACGTTTTATCTGTTTTTCCAGATTTCCCATGCCTGCAGATACCAAGTGCACAGTATGTGCACAGGCTTGGTTTCCGTTTGCCTTGGTTTTCTGCTACTGTATTCCCTGTTGGTGCATGTTTACCTGTCTCATTCTTATCCTCACTAGTACTAACAATGGAGTTTTAGCAGCAAAGATTGGGAACCATAACCTAGCCATTGTGGGTGTATACAAGCCTCTGGATGCAACGTACCAATAATTCCAGGAACATCTTTTGAAATTAACCACTGTCTGGAAAACCTAGCTCCTGCACCCCTCCTGGGGATTTCAGCCTAAGGCACCTAAAATTTAGCAATATGGCAAATAATGTTGCAGCAGAGATAACACCAGGAGGCAGCCTGGTGGCTAAAGCTCCCGCTTCACACACGGAGGGCCCAGGTTAGATTCCCGGCAGGTGGAAACATTTTGACGTGTTTCCTTACACTTGTTGCCCTGTTCACATGGCAGCAAATAGGTACCTGGGTGTTAGTCGACTGGTGTGGGTCGCATCCTGGGGGACAAAACTGAGGAGCCCAATGGAAATAAGACAGTCCTCGTTGATGCACTGACTTTCTTGGATTATCCCGGGTGACTAACCCTCCGGGGTTAAAAATCCGAACGAAATCTTATCACACACACACACACACACACATACACACACACACACACACACACACACACACACACACACACACACACACACACACACACACACACACACAGAGCTTTTAAACCTCTTCACCAAATTCACCTTAAACCAGCAAATAATAGAGTCTACAGGATTGGAGAATATGCTGGATCTCATCTTCACTAACAATGATGATCTGATACGAAATATATCAAAAACAATATACTCAGATCACAACATAAAGGAGGTACAGACATATGCGGGGCCCCAGACCGACAAAATGTGATCAGTCACGAGGGAGCCTTCACCAAATTAACTTTAGTAACAAAAACATAAGGTGGGACCAAGTAAACCAAGTCCTAAAAGATATAAACCGGGAAGACAAACTAAGCAACACTGATACTTCCCTATGCCTAGGACAAATTAACTGTGGCACTTGAGGTATGCTCAAGGCATATTCCTTTAAGGAAAAGATATAAACTAGAAAGAGAAAGGCGCTCCCTTTACAGACGAAGGCAAAGAATAACAGCGGTTACAAGAGGCCAATATATCTGCAATACGTAGGGAGACAATGGTCAGAAATAGCAAACATCGAATTAAAGCAAAGGAATCTTACCGGAGTCAAGAAACGCGAATAGAACTAAAAGCCATAAATGAAATTGAAACAAACCCAAAGTATTTCTTTTCTTATGCCAAATCAAAGTCTAGAACACCATCCAGTATTGGGCCCCTACTTAAACAAGATGGGTCCTACACAGATGGTAGCAAGGAAATGAGCGAGTGTTATGGTTCGAATCTTAATCTTTAGCCAGGTTAGTGCACTCCGTAAGAACACACTTCATAGAATGAGAGGATATGGTTCCAAACTTTGGAATGTAAGGCACAAATAATAGTTACTCGGTCTTTTCTAGTTACTTTTTATTTAAAAGTTTAAATACTTCAGATATTCATAAATATCTATTAAATATCACTCTCAGAAACTTTCCTTCACACAAGAACTCTTAAATAGAATGTACATGATAGACCTCCTCTGGAGACTGTCAATATGGTCACTACACTTGATAATGATCACAGGAATATTACTGCTTCCTCAATAGTAACATTACTTGTGTGTAAGTACATATATTGAGAATTAACACTTTCACCGAGTAACTCCCTGGCATAAGGAATATATCACAAAGTTCTAAGCTTGACACTGGTCGTCACATTGTAACCTGAAGGTAACAGTATATAATTGTCCGCAGACTTCACTTCACAATAAATCACAAGGTGATTCAGGAGTTTCTATAACACAATTCTCTATCTAAGTAAGAATAAGGCGGAGTACTAGGAGGGTAGTTCAGTCAATGCACACTGAGTCGGCAGAGAGAGCGAACTGCCATATACAGTAAATTCCTTCATGACATCAACTCGTCAAAAGGGGGAGAAGGTAGAGCGGTGCGAACTACCCACCAATGGAGATACCTTGTTATAAACCTTAGCCAGGTGTACCTACCTAACACATTACTCAACATTATATAAATATATACATCATACCCGGGTATATTCCTAAATCAGATAATATTATAAACTAGTGGAATCTTTAATTTAGCTAATATTAAAGAAACCCCGAGTATAATATTAAGTGGATAACACAAATTAATCCCATTATGACCTTGGTCATAACAGTGAGCTACTCAAGTCCCAATATGTCTCAGTTTTTAGCGAGCTGCTCACCAGACTGAGAGTCGAAGACCTAAATTAATTTTTTATGAGAGAGAGACAGAATTTGGTAGACACACACTTATCTGATATTATCTTTACGCCAAAGGACTTCGAAAAGACGATAAATGACATGCCCATGCACTCTGCCCTGGGCCCAGACTCATGGAACTCCGTGTTCATCAAGAACTGCAAAAAGCCCCTATCACGTGCTTTTAACATTCTGTGGAGAGGGAGCATGGACACGGGGGTCGTCCCACAGTTACTAAAAACAAGACATAGCCCCACTCCACAAAGGGGGCAGTAAAGCAATAGCAAAGAACTACAGACCGATAGTGCTAACATCCATTATTAAAATCTTTGAAAGGGTTCTCAGAAGCAAGATCACCACCCATCTCGATATCCATCAGTTACACAACCCAGGGCAGCATGGGTTTATAGCACGTCGCTCCTGTTTGTCCCAACTACTGGACCACTACGACAAGGTCATCGATGCTTTAGAACATAAAAACATAAGAACATAAGAAAGAAGGAACACTGCAGCAGGCCTGTTGGCCCATACTAGGCAGGTCCTTTGCAATCCTTCCCACTGACAAAATATTTGCCAACCCAATTTTCAATGCATTGAAAATTGGGTTGGCAAATGCTCTAGAAGACAAAAAGAATGCAGATGTAATATACACAGGCTTTGCAAAAGCCTTTGACAAGTGTGACCATGGTGTAAAAGCGCACAAAATGCGTGATAAAGGAGTAACAGGAAGAGTCGGTAGATGGATCTATAATTTCCTAACAAACAGAACACAAAGAGTAGTAGTCAACAGAGGAAAGTCTGAGGCGACTACGGTGAAAAGCTCTTTTCCGCAAGGCACAGTACTCGGACATAGACAGGGATATAAGCCACAGCACCGTGTCTTCCTTTGCAGATGACACCAGAATCTGCATGATAGTGACCTCCATTGAAGATACTGCAAGACTCCAGGTGGACATCAACCAAATCTTTAAATGGGCTGCAGAAAACAATATGAAGTTCAATTATGAGAAATTTCAATTACTCCGATATGGAAAACGTGGGGAAATTGAAACTTCATCAGAGTATAAAACAAATTCCAACCACACAATAGAGCGATAAACTAATGTCAAAGACCTGGGAGTGATTATGTCAGAGGATCTCGCCTTCAAGGACCATATCATTGTATCAATCGTATCTGCTAGAAAAATGACAGGATGGATAATGAGAACCTTCAAAACTAGGGATGCCAAGCCCATGATGACTCTCTTCAGGTAGCTTGTTCTATCTAGGCTGGAATATTGCTGCACACTAACACCACCTTTCATGGCAGGTGAAATTGCTGACCTAGAATATGTACAGAGAACCTTCACGGCGCGCATAACGGAGATAAAACACCTCAATTACTTTGAACGCTTGAAGTTCCTAAACCTGTACTCCCTAGAATGCAAGAGGGAGAGATACATGATTATATATACCTAGAAAGTCCTAAAGGGACTAGTACCAAACTTGCTCACGAAAATCACTCCCTATGAAAGCAAATGACTCGGCAGACGGTGCAACATCCCCCCAATGAAAAGCAGGGGTGCCACTAGCAAGATCAGAAACAACACATTAAGTGTCAGGGGTCCAAGTCTGTTCAACTGCCTCCCAGCATACATCAGGGGGATTACCAAAAGACCCCTGGCTGTCTTCAAGCAGGCACTCGACAGGCATCAGAAGTCAGTACCTGACCAGCCGGGTTGTGGTTCGTACACTGGATTACATGCGGCAAGCAGTAACAGCCTGGTTGATCAGGCCCTGATCCACCATGAGGCCTGGTCACAGACCGAGCCGCGGGGGCGTTGATCCCCCGAACTTTCTCCAGGTATATTGGGTTATCCCGAGTTATATTGGGTTATCCCGGGTTATATTAGGTTATCCTTGGTTATATTGGGTTATCTCAGGTTATATTGGGTTATCCCGGGTTATATTTGGGTTATCCCGGGTTACACTGGCTTATCCCGGGTTGTATCAACATAATGTACTTTAATATCTGTTTTCAAGATCATTGTTAAAAATGTTGTATGTTGTGTGTACTAAACTTGACTGTAACTTAGTTACTCTATTTATTTATTTAGTTTTTTACATAGAGAAAAGTTTGGACCTGTGTTGAACATAATTGTGTTGAACTGGAGAGACTGAAATATTGTTTTTCATGAGATAATTTCTGAGTGTTGCATGTGATTACCTTGAGCCCTTCCATGCTGACAGTTTGATGATGCAACTTCTAAGGAGTTTTAAGCTTGCTGTGCTTGTGTATTTTAGAATGCTGGTCTCGTTTAAAGATTTGAATTAGATTATGACTGTATGTCCTAATTTACTATTTTTATTGAAGAAATTTAAATATCAGTTTCCATATGGCGACTTGCTAATGACTTTTCTGGTTACCTTTAAATCTTTAATGGTAATATTTAACTGCACTGTGAACGCATGTCGCACTCTGCACTATTCCAAAATTGTGGAATGAGGTAAAAGGGGAATGGAATTATGGAACATAATTAGGGGATACCTTTCTCGGATCAGGCCACATACATGCAGTTACAACACTTACCTTGAGGGTCAGTAGGATAAGTGACATTAGTTTCCTTCGTAAAGGGATCTTCAACAAGTGTAAATAGATCCCAGTTGAATTGTTCTTCATTGAAAGGCTTTCCTTGTTCCAGGCTTGTCTCAAGGGTCTCTGAGAAGAACTCCCAACGTGGCTTAATGTAATTTGTAATCAGTCCAGACCATTGCTTTATGGCGTAGTCATGAATCTCTCCAGTGGGTCCCCACAGTGAGATCTGATTGAGTGCGTTGAAGATGTACTGATCACGCTCCTGTTGGAAAACCCTGTACTTAAAAGTGGTTTCATTACAAAAAAAGGTAACTTAAACAATATGATATCTGACAAAATTAAATGAACGATATTCCAGAGAAGACATGATAATAACGTACATAATAGCAAATGGGCTTATCATAGTGGACAGGGAAAGACCGTTCTAAGGGTAGGTAGGATATGAGGATTTTTTCCAGCCTCCGGGTGATTTAGAAGAGGAATGTCTACGATGAAGAGGTGGAGGAAAACTCCGTACACAGTTTTAAATACAGGTACAATAGGACTTACAAGGCTAGTTATGAGGCTGGGAGAGGAGTTGAGAATCAACCCATACAACCATAATAGGTGAGTACAAGTAACTCACTATGCATATATGTTATTAAAAGGGAGCTGAGGGGCATATCCTAAGAGGAGAGGTTAAGGAAAATCGACCTGACAACATTGAAGGACAGGAGAGATACGGAGGATATGATAACGACTTATAAAATACTGAGAGGAATTGACAAGGTGGACAGATGAAGGAAACAGTGGATGTTACAAGGCTATGAGTGGAGAATTACTCAGAAAGATGATTTTGACTTTTTCCTAAGGGAATATCATAGCTACCTGGTGGAGCTGGGAATATCATAGCTACCTGGTGGAGTTGGGAATGTCATAGCTACCTGGTGGAGTTGGGAATATCATAGCTACCTGGTGGAGTTGGGAATGTCATAGCTACCTGGTGGAGTTGGGAATGTCATAGCTACCTGGTGGAGTTGGGAATGTCATAGCTACCTGGTGGAGTTGGGAATGTCATAGCTACCTGGTGGAGTTGGGAATGTCATAGCTACCTGGTGAGTTGGGAATGTCATAGCTACCTGGTGGAGTTGGGAATGTCATAGCTACCTGGTGAGTTGGGAATGTCATAGCTAGCTGGTGGAGTTGGGAATGTCATAGCTACCTGGTGGAGTTGGGAATATCATAGCTACCTGGTGGAGTTGGGAATGTCATAGCTACCTGGTGGAGTTGGGAATGTCATAGCTACCTGGTGGAGTTGGGAATGTCATAGCTACCTGGTGGAGTTGGGAATGTCATAGCTACCTGGTGGAGTTGGGAATGTCATAGCTACCTGGTGGAGCTGGGAATGTCATAGCTACCTGGTGGAGTTGGGAATGTCATAGCTACCTGGTGGAGCTGGGAATGTCATAACTACCTGGTGGAGTTGGGAATATCATAGCTACCTGGTGGAGTTGGGAATGTCATAGCTACCTGGTGGAGTTGGGAATGTCATAGCTACCTGGTGGAGTTGGGAATATCATAGCTACCTGGTGGAGTTGGGAATGTCATAGCTACCTGGTGGAGTTGGGAATGTCATAGCTACCTGGTGGAGTTGGGAATGTCATAGCTACCTGGTGGAGTTGGGAATGTCATAGCTACCTGGTGGAGTTGGGAATGTCATAGCTACCTGGTGGAGTTGGGAATGTCATAGCTACCTGGTGGAGTTGGGAATGTCATAGCTACCTGGTGGAGTTGGGAATGTCATAGCTACCTGGTGGAGTTGGGAATGTCATAGCTACCTGGTGGAGTTGGGAATGTCATAGCTACCTGGTGGAGTTGGGAATGTCATAGCTACCTGGTGGAGCTGGGAAAGTCCTAGCTACCTGGTGGAGCTGGGAATGTCCTAGCTACCCAGTAGAGCTGGGAATGTCTTAGCTACCTGGTGGAGCTGGGAATGTCATAGCTACCTGGTGGAGTTGGGAATATCATAGCTACCTGGTGGAGTTGGGAATATCATAGCTACCTGGTGGAGTTGGGAATGTCATAGCTACCTGGTGGAGTTGGGAATGTCATAGCTACCTGGTGGAGCTGGGAAAGTCCTAGCTACCTGGTGGAGCTGGGAATGTCCTAGCTACCCAGTAGAGCTGGGAATGTCTTAGCTACCTGGTGGAGCTGGGAATGTCATAGCTACCTGGTGGAGTTGGGAATATCATAGCTACCTGGTGGAGTTGGGAATATCATAGCTACCTGGTGGAGTTGGGAATGTCATAGCTACCTGGTGGAGTTGGGAATGTCATAGCTACCTGGTGGAGTGGGAATGTCATAGCTACCTGGTGGAGTTGGGAATGTCATAGCTACCTGGTGGAGTTGGGAATGTCATAGCTACCTGGTGGAGTTGGGAATGTCATAGCTACCTGGTGGAGTTGGGAATGTCATAGCTACCTGGTGGAGTTGGGAATGTCATAGCTACCTGGTGGAGTTGGGAATGTCATAGCTACCTGGTGGAGTTGGGAATGTCATAGCTACCTGGTGGAGTTGGGAATGTCATAGCTACCTGGTGGAGTTGGGAATGACATAGCTACCTGGTGGAGTTGGGAATGTCATAGCTACTTGGTGGAGTTGGGAATATCATAGCTACCTGGTGGAGTTGGGAATGTCATAGCTACCTGGTGGAGTTGGGAATGTCATAGCTACCTGGTGGAGTTGGGAATGTCATAGCTACCTGGTGGAGTTGGGAATGTCATTGCTACCTGGTGGAGTTGGGAATGTCATAGCTACCTGGTGGAGTTGGGAATGTCATAGCTACCTGGTGGAGTTGGGAATGTCATAGCTACCTGGTGGAGTTGGGAATGTCATAGCTACCTGGTGGAGTTGGGAATGTCATAGCTACCTGGTGGAGCTGGGAAAGTCCTAGCTACCTGGTGGAGCTGGGAATGTCCTAGCTACCCAGTAGAGCTGGGAATGTCTTAGCTACCTGGTGGAGCTGGGAATGTCATAGCTACCTGGTGGAGTTGGGAATATCATAGTTACCTGGTGGAGTTGGGAATGTCATAGCTACCTGGTGGAGTTGGGAATGTCATAGCTACCTGGTGGAGCTGGGAAAGTCCTAGCTACCTGGTGGAGCTGGGAATGTCCTAGCTACCCAGTAGAGCAGGGAATGTCTTAGCTACCTGGTGGAGCTGGGAATGTCATAGCTACCTGGTGGAGTTGGGAATGTCATAGCTACCTGGTGGAGTTGGGAATGTCATAGCTACCTGGTGGAGTTGGGAATGTCATAGCTACCTGGTGGAGCTGGGAATGTCATAGCTACCTGGTGGAGTTGGGAATATCATAGCTACCTGGTGGAGTTGGGAATATCATAGCTACCTGGTGGAGTTGGGAATGTCATAGCTACCTGGTGGAGTTGGGAATGTCATAGCTACCTGGTGGAGTTGGGAATGTCATAGCTACCTGGTGGAGTTGGGAATGTCATAGCTACCTGGTGGAGTTGGGAAAGTCATAGCTACCTGGTGGAGTTGGGAATGTCATAGCTACCTGGTGGAGTTGGGAATGTCATAGCTACCTGGTGGAGTTGGGAATATCATAGCTACCTGGTGGAGTTGGGAATGTCATAGCTACCTGGTGGAGTTGGGAATGTCATAGCTACCTGGTGGAGTTGGGAATGTCATAGCTACCTGGTGGAGTTGGGAATGTCATAGCTACTTGGTGGAGTTGGGAATATCATAGCTACCTGGTGGAGTTGGGAATGTCATAGCTACCTGGTGGAGTTGGGAATGTCATAGCTACCTGGTGGAGTTGGGAATGTCATAGCTACCTGGTGGAGTTGGGAATGTCATAGCTACCTGGCGGAGTTGGGAATGTCATAGCTACCTGGTGGAGTTGGGAATGTCATAGCTACCTGGTGGAGTTGGGAATGTCATAGCTACCGGGTGGAGTTGGGAATGTCATAGCTACCTGGTGGAGTTGGGAATGTCATAGCTACCTGGTGGAGTTGGGAATGTCATAGCTACCTGGTGGAGCTGGGAAAGTCCTAGCTACCTGGTGGAGCTGGGAATGTCCTAGCTACCCAGTAGAGCTGGGAATGTCTTAGCTACCTGGTGGAGCTGGGAATGTCATAGCTACCTGGTGGAGTTGGGAATATCATAGCTACCTGGTGGAGTTGGGAATGTCATAGCTACCTGGTGGAGTTGGGAATGTCATAGCTACCTGGTGGAGCTGGGAAAGTCCTAGCTACCTGGTGGAGCTGGGAATGTCCTAGCTACCCAGTAGAGCTGGGAATGTCTTAGCTACCTGGTGGAGCTGGGAATGTCATAGCTACCTGGTGGAGTTGGGAATGTCATAGCTACCTGGTGGAGTTGGGAATGTCATAGCTACCTGGTGGAGTTGGGAATGTCATAGCTACCTGGTGGAGTTGGGAATGTCATAGCTACCTGGTGGAGTTGGGAATGTCATAGCTACCTGGTGGAGTTGGGAATGTCATAGCTACCTGGTGGAGTTGGGAATGTCATAGCTACCTGGTGGAGTTGGGAATGTCATAGCTACCTGGTGGAGTTGGGAATGTCATAGCTACCTGGTGGAGTTGGGAATGTCATAGCTACCTGGTGGAGTTTGGAATGTCATAGCTACCTGGTGGAGTTGGGAATGTCATAGCTACCTGGTGGAGTTGGGAATGCCATAGCTACCTGGTGGAGTTGGGAATGTCATAGCTACCTGGTGGAGTTGGGAATGTCATAGCTACCTGGTGGAGCTGGGAATGTCCTAGCTACCCAGTAGAGTTGGGAATGTCTTAGCTACCTGGTGGAGCTGGGAATGTCCTAGCTACCTTGTGGAGCTGGGAATGCCATAGCTACCTGGTGGAGCTGGGAATGTCCTAGCTGGCTGGTGGAGCTGGGAATGTCCTAGCTACCTGGTGGAGTTGGGTATGTCCTAGCTACCTGTTGGAGCTGGGAATGTCATATCTACCTGGTGGAGCTGGGAATGTCCTAGCTACCTGGTGGAGCTGGGAATGTCATAGTTACCTGGTGGAGTTGGGAATGTCATAGCTACTTGGTGGACTGGGGAATATCATAGCTACCTGGTGGAGTTGGGAATGTCATAGCTACCTGGTGGAGTTGGGAATGTCATAGCTACCTGGTGGAGTTGGGAATATCATAGCTACCTGGTGGAGTTGGGAATGTCATAGCTACCTGGTGGAGTTGGGAATGTCATAGCTACCTGGTGGAGTTGGGAATGTCATAGCTACCTGGTGGAGTTGGGAATGTCATAGCTACCTGGTGGAGTTGGGAATGTCATAGCTACCTGGTGGAGTTGGGAATGTCATAGCTACTTGGTGGAGTTGGGAATATCATAGCTACCTGGTGGAGTTGGGAATGTCATAGCTACCTGGTGGAGTTGGGAATGTCATAGCTACCTGGTGGAGTTGGGAATGTCATAGCTACCTGGTGGAGTTGGGAATGTCATAGCTACCTGGTGGAGTTGGGAATGTCATAGCTACCTGGTGGAGTTGGGAATGTCATAGCTTCCTGGTGGAGTTGGGAATGTCATAGCTACCTGGTGGAGTTGGGAATGTCATAGCTACCTGGTGGAGTTGGGAATGTCATAGCTACCTGGTGGAGCTGGGAAAGTCCTAGCTACCCGGTGGAGCTGGGAATGTCCTAGCTACCCAGTAGAGCTGGGAATGTCTTAGCTACCTGGTGGAGCTGGGAATGTCATAGCTACCTGGTGGAGTTGGGAATATCATAGCTACCTGGTGGAGTTGGGAATGTCATAGCTACCTGGTGGAGTTGGGAATGTCATAGCTACCTGGTGGAGCTGGGAAAGTCCTAGCTACCTGGTGGAGCTGGGAATGTCCTAGCTACCCAGTAGAGCTGGGAATGTCTTAGCTACCTGGTGGAGTTGGGAATATCATAGCTACCTGGTGGAGTTGGGAATATCATAGCTACCTGGTGGAGTTGGGAATGTCATAGCTACCTGGTGGAGTTGGGAATGTCATAGCTACCTGGTGGAGTTGGGAATGTCATAGCTACCTGGTGGAGTTGGGAATGTCATAGCTACCTGGTGGAGTTGGGAATGTCATAGCTACCTGGTGGAGTTGGGAATGTCATAGCTACCTGGTGGAGTTGGGAATGTCATAGCTACCTGGTGGAGTTGGGAATGTCATAGCTACCTGGTGGAGTTGGGAATGTCATAGCTACCTGGTGGAGTTGGGAATGTCATAGCTACCTGGTGGAGTTGGGAATGTCATAGCTACCTGGTGGAGTTGGGAATGTCATAGCTACTTGGTGGAGTTGGGAATATCATAGCTACCTGGTGGAGTTGGGAATGTCATAGCTACCTGGTGGAGTTGGGAATGTCATAGCTACCTGGTGGAGTTGGGAATGTCATAGCTACCTGGTGGAGTTGGGAATGTCATAGCTACCTGGTGGAGTTGGGAATGTCATAGCTACCTGGTGGAGTTGGGAATGTCATAGCTACCTGGTGGAGTTGGGAATGTCATAGCTACCTGGTGGAGTTGGGAATGTCATAGCTACCTGGTGGAGTTGGGAATGTCATAGCTACCTGGTGGAGCTGGGAAAGTCCTAGCTACCTGGTGGAGCTGGGAATGTCCTAGCTGCCCAGTAGAGCTGGGAATGTCTTAGCTACCTGGTGGAGCTGGGAATGTCATAGCTACCTGGTGGAGTTGGGAATATCATAGCTACCTGGTGGAGTTGGGAATGTCATAGCTACCTGGTGGAGTTGGGAATGTCATAGCTACCTGGTGGAGCTGGGAAAGTCCTAGCTACCTGGTGGAGCTGGGAATGTCCTAGCTACCCAGTAGAGCTGGGAATGTCTTAGCTACCTGGTGGAGCTGGGAATGTCATAGCTACCTGGTGGAGTTGGGGATGTCATAGCTACCTGGTGGAGTTGGGAATGTCATAGCTACCTGGTGGAGTTGGGAATGTCATAGCTACCTGGTGGAGTTGGGAATGTCATAGCTACCTGGTGGAGTTGGGAATGTCATAGCTACCTGGTGGAGTTGGGAATGTCATAGCTACCTGGTGGAGTTGGGAATGTCATAGCTACCTGGTGGAGTTGGGAATGTCATAGCTACCTGGTGGAGTTGGGAATGTCATAGCTACCTGGTGGAGTTGGGAATGTCATAGCTACCTGGTGGAGTTGGGAATGTCATAGCTACCTGGTGGAGTTGGGAATGTCATAGCTACCTTGTGGAGCTGGGAATGTCCTAGCTACCCAGTAGAGTTGGGAATGTCTTAGCTACCTGGTGGAGCTGGGAATGTCGTAGCTACCTTGTGGAGCTGGGAATGTCCTAGCTACCTGGTGGAGCTGGGAATGCCATAGCTACCTGGTGGAGCTGGGAATGTCCTAGCTGGCTGGTGGAGCTGGGAATGTCCTAGCTACCTGGTGGAGTTGGGAATGTCCTAGCTACCTGGTGGAGCTGGGAATGTCATAGCTACCTGGTGGAGCTGGGAATGTCCTAGCTACCTGGTGGAGCTGGGAATGTCATAGTTACCTGGTGGAGCTGGGAATGTCCTAGGTACCTGGTGGAGCTGGGAATGTCCTAGCTACTCAGTAGAACTGGGAATGTCTTAGCTACCTGGTGGAGCTGGGAATGTCCTAGCTACCTGGTGGAGGTGGGAATGTCATAGTTACCTGGTGGAGCTGGGAATGTCCTAGCTACCTGGAGTTGGGAATGTCTTAGCTACCTGGTGGAGCTGGGAATGTCCTAGCTACCTGGTGGAGCTGGGAATGTCTTAGGTACCTGGTGGAGCTGGGAATGTCCTAGCTACCTGGTGGAGCTGGGAATATCCTAGCTACCTGGTGGAGCTGGGAATGTCCTAGCTACCTGGTGGAGCTGGGAATGTCTTAGGTACCTGGTGGAGCTGGGAATGTCCTAGCTACCTGGTGGAACTGGGAATATCCTAGCTACCTGGTGGAGCTGGGAATGTCCTAGCTACCTGGTGGAGCTGGGAATGTCCTAGCTACCTGGTGGAGCTGGGAATGTCCTAGCTACCTGCTGGAGCTGGAAATGTCCTAGCTACTTGCTGGAGCTGGGAATGTCCTAGCTACCTGGTGTAGCTGAGAATGTCCTAGCTACCTGGTGGAGCTGGGAATGTCCTAGCTATCTGGTGGAGCTGGGAATGTCTTAGGTACCTGGTGGAGCTGGGAATGTCCTAGCTACCTGGTGGAGCTGGGAATATCCTACCTACCTGGTGAAGCTGGAAATGTCCTAGCTACCTGGTGGAGCTGGGAATGTCCTAGGTACCTGCTGGAGCTGGGAATGTCCTAGCTACCTGCTGGAGCTGGGAATGCAGAGAAGTGAGAGCAGAGTAATCCAAAAGACAGATTACTATCGATGTGGGTATAAAAAAAATATTTCCAGATTAAGATTAGCTTGAAAAAAACCTGTGGAAGGCAAAACAGAACACGTCATAGCAGGATATCTGAAATATACCAGGTAGCCACAAAAAAACATTTGAACCATTAAGGACGAGAATATATAGAAGAGAGAGAAATCATATGGTTTAGATAGCAGTGTAGCGAAGCGAAGGCTGAATAGAAAATGATATGGAAAATACATACGAAAATTAAGACGGAGGAAGAATGACTTTGCTAGTATAAGTAGGGAAATAGAAATAGATTATAACAGAGCTAAGGTTAAGTATATAGTTGCGAGAGACAATATTTGATGTTATAACACAAGTTGAGAATCATATAACGTGGATGCAATAAAAAACAGAGCTAGTAAAGGAGTAGTTATCTTAGTGGAGATTTGAAGAAATTCAAAACAATTAATGAGAGGTACCAGAAAGGTCGATGAAAACGTACTTGTACCAATATAATTAGATATGAAGAAAGTAGGTACTTTACTGGATCAATAATTAGATATGAAGAAAGTAAGTACTTTACTGGTTCAATGAAAGGAAACAGAACTCATCACAAAGATTAAGAAAACTCATCTATAAGCCACGTTAGTTTTCTTGCCTTTTCATTGGTGGCCCAAGACGCAGCATCTTCAAGCCAGCGTCCAAGAAGAAAGTCTGGAGATGAGCCCAGCAAGAGGTCCAGATCAGTTAAAATAACCTGCAGTAGGTGATGAGACTCTCTGTGGAGGAACAACCACTTCAAGCTTAGTGTCTGCAAAATAATTACCTCAAAAAGAAGCCATCTCGATAAGCATAGCTTGATTAATGATACTCAGCATGGATTCACAAGAGGCCGGTCTTGTCTAACTAATTTATTAACTTTCTTCAGTAAAGCTTTTGAGGCTGTTGACCACAATAAAGAATTTGATATTATTTACTTAGATTTTAGTAAGGCTTTTGATAGAGTTCCGCACCATAGACTGTTAAAGAAAGTGGCAGCTCATGGCATTGGGGGAAAAGTGCTCTCGTGGATCGAGTCATGGCTCACTGACAGGAAGCAGAGAGTGTCCATAAATGGGGTTAAATCCGAGTGGGGATCTGTAACAAGTGGCGTTCCACAGGGATCAGTCTTGGGCCCATTGTTGTTTATAATATATATCAATGATCTTGATGAGGGAATTACTAGTGATATGAGCAAATTCGCCGATGACACAAAGATAGGTAGGATAATTGATTCAAACGTAGATGTTAGGGAACTTCAGGAGGATTTAAACAAACTCTATTCTTGGTCAGAAAAGTGGCAGATGCAGTTCAATGTAGATAAGTGCAAGGTTCTGAAGCTTGGGAGTGCCATAACCCTAGTACTTATAAATTAAATGATGTAGAACTTAGCCATACAGATTGCGAAAAGGACTTGGGGGTTATGGTGAGCAGCAACCTTAAACCAAGACAGCAATGCTTAAGCGTACGTAATAAGGCAAATAGATTACTGGGATTTATATCAAGAAGTGTAAGCAACAGAAGTCCAGAGGTCATACTGCAGCTTTATACATCATTAGTAAGGCCTCACCTTGATTATGCAGCTCAGTTTTGGTCTCCGTATTACAAAATGGACATAAATTCGTTAGAAAACATTCAGCGTAGGATGACTAAATTAATACATAGCATCAGAAATCTTCCTTATGAAGAAAGATTGAAGACTCTTAAGTTACATTCACTTGTTAGACGAAGAATGAGGGGAGACCTGATCGAAGTGTATAAGTGGAAGATAGGTATTAATAAAGGGGATATTAATAAGGTCTTGAGGATGTCTCTCCAAGAGAGAACCCGCAGTAATGGATTTAAATTAGATAAGTTTAGATTTAGAAAGGACATAGGAAAGTATTGGTTTGGAAATAGGGTAGTTGATGAGTGGAACAGTCTACCTAGTTGGGTTATTGAGGCTAGGACTTTGGGTAGTTTCAAATCTAGGTTGGATAAGTACATGAGCGGGAAGGGTTGGATTTGAGTGGGACTTTCACATCAGAGCTTATTTCTTGGGTAGCATTGAAAATTGGGTTGGGTAAATGTTTTGTTAGTGGGATGAATTGTAAAGGACCTGCCTAGTATGGGCCAGCAGGCCTCCTGCAGTGTTCCTCCTTTCTTATGTTCTTATGTTCTTAAAAAGCAATGTATAATTCTCTTACTCTCTGAAAATTTCATAAATGGTATAATAGCACAAGTTACACGTGGTAGATGGGCCCCAGGTGGCACTGAGACCGTAAACAACAGTAATCGACACCAGTCACAGGATTGTCACAAGTACAGTAACGTTAGAAAAAAATCAGGGGAAGCTGTAGTTGTAGTAGTAGCAGTAGTAGTAGAAGTAGTACTAATAGCAGTAGTAATAGTAGTATTAAAAGTAGTAGCAGTAGTAGTAATAATAGTAGTAGTAATAATAATAACAACAACATTAATTATAAATTAGTGTCAAGTGTAATCTCTGGTCTGTCTGGGGTTCAGGCAGTCCTCTTGAACACAGACGTCATCTTACTCTTGCAAAGGCAGTCAAACAAGAGAGTGATGAAGGTAACGGTGCCCGTGGCCTAGTGGCTAAAGCTCTCGCTTCACACCGCGAGGGTCTGGGCTCGATTCTTAGCGAGGGTAACAATATTGGGCGTGTTTCCTTACACCGGTTGTCTATGTTCAATCCATCAAAATGGGTACCTGGGTGTTAGTCGACTGGTGTGGGTCGCATCCTGGTTATCGATAAAACTGACTTAATTTACCCGAAATGCTCAGCATAACAAGCGGCTTCTATATAGTAGTATGACATTGATGTCAGATATGGTCTGTATACCTTGTACATGTACTTGTAGTAAATAAAGATATTATTTTTTTTTATCTTAAGATAGTGAAATATAACGTTGTTACATCTGTGACGCTCAGTGGTTCATTATTTTCTACTCATCCACCACAACGTTTTCTTTACCGCCTGCATCTTATTATATTTTGTTCCATTATGGTACGTTATAATTGGTTAATTTTACGAATACAGGACAACCTAATTAAACCTAACCCAATCCAGCCTAGCTTAGCATAACGTAACCTAGCTCAGCCTAACCTAACCTAGCTTAGCTTAACCTAACCTAGCTTAGCCTAACCTACCTTAGCCTAACCAAACCTTGCCAAACCAGTAAATCTGCTGCAGAAATCCGATAGATATTTATATGAATTAAGAGGATGGGTTGTTGAGTTAAAATATACTGAAAGATTAGGCTGAAACGTGTATTTTTTCAGGGCGTATCGGTCCCTCCAGGACCACTGAGAATCACAACTAAGCGAGGAAAAAAGACGAGAAGGCAGGAGAGAGAGGGGGAAAGAAGGTAGTAATAATAGTAGTAGCAGCAGTAGTAGTAGTAGTAGTAGTAGTAGCAGTAAAAGCAGTAGCAGTAATGATAGTAGAATTGGCTGAAGTAGTAGTAAGGACATAAGAAAGAACACTGCAGCAGGCCTACTGACCCATTCGAGGCAGGTCCAAGTCACCACCCGGCTTAAACCAATGATCCATCTAGCCAGGTCAGGTCACATCCACTTAAGGAAGGGTCACGGCCTCAGATCTATTAGCACAAGCTAGTCAGGTCCGATTCACTCCCACTCATGTATTTATCTAACCTGTTTTTAAAACTGCACAACGTTTTAGCTTCTATAGCAGTACTCAGGAGTTTGTTCCACTCATCCACAACTCTATTACCAAACCAATGCTTTCCTATATCCTTCCTGAAATTGAATTTTTCCAACTTGAAAACCATTGCTGCGAGTCCTCTCTTGGCTAGATATTTTTAGCATGTTATTTATATTCATTTTATTTATTCCTGTTTTCCATTAAACACCTCAATCATATCCCCCCTAATTCTACACCTTTCTAGAGAGTGCAAATTCAGGGCCTCAATCTATCCTCATAGGACAGACTGAGGGCATAGTAGTATTAATAAAACTCATAGCGTTATAATTAGTAGCAATAGTAGTAGTAGTAGTAGTAGTAGAAGTATTATTTTTTTTTATCACACTGGCCGATTCCCACCAAGGCAGGGTGGCCCGAAAAAGAAAAACTTTCACCATCCATCATTCACTCCATCACTGTCTTGCCAGAAGGGTGCTTTACACTACAGTTTTTAAACTGCAACATTAACACCCCTCCTTCAGAGTGCAGGCACTGTACTTCCATTATTATAATAAAAAAAAGAAACGCTAAGCCACAAGGGCTATACAGCGTTGCAGGGTAGGGAAGAAAGCGAGGGTATTGGACGGCAGAAGGGGGGAGGGATGATCAGTAGGTTACAGAAAACAGCGGGGCAGGGGATAGTGCGGGGGTAGAGGGTAGCAAGAGATTGAGGTAGAAAGGGCTGAAGGTATCAGAGTTTGTGAAGTAAGTCAGTTGTTGTCAAAAACTCAATGAGAGAGTCCGGATGAAAGGTGGGTCCATCAGCGAGAAGGGAAGGTAAAGAGAGAGCAGGGGAGCGAAGACGAGGTAAATTCTGCGTGCTCGTTGATAAAGTGGGCAGTCTAACAGAATGTGGCTGACCGATAATGGAACCTGACAATTCTCACAGAGAGGAGCAGGGCGCCTCTCCATGAGATATCCATGATTAAGACGAGTATGGCCAATGCGAAGACGGCAGAGAGTAGTCTCCCAACCTCGACACTGGTGACAAGAAGACGGCCAGTAACCTATACTCGGTTTAATGGATTGAAGTTTGTTACCGAGCAGAGTAGAGCAACGTTGTTGGCAACGGGTGTGAAGGTGGGCAGCTATTGCAGCAAAATAGTCTGTAAATGGAATACCTCTTTATGAAACTGGTAGGTCATGTACTGCTGACCGCGCAGCAGTGTCTGCCTGTTTATTGCCCTGTACGTCAACATGACCAGGGACCCAACAAAAAACAATATCTTTATGCTTGGTAAAGATGTGGCATAGCCAAAGTTGGATATGGAGGACTAAGGGGTGAGGTGTATCAAATTTCTGTATAGCCTGTAAAGCACTAAGGGAGTCTGAGACAACCACAAATGATGACACAGGCATAGATGCAATACGGATAAGTGCTGCAACAATGGAATACAATTCAGCAGTAAAAATACTAGCCGAAGATAGTAAATGCCCTCGTACGACGCTGTCTGGAAACACTGCTGCAAATCCTAAGCCGTCAGAAGACTTAGGGCCATCTGTGTACACTGCAGTGGCATGAGAATGAGAGTGGAAGTGGTCAAGAAAAAGAGAGCGGGAAGCTACCGTAGACAGTTGGGCTTTCGAGCAAGGGAGAGAGAAAGAACAGACTTGAACAGCTGGAACTTCTCAGGGAGGTAGGGAAAAGTGAGATGCTACATGAACATAGAAAGGTGGTAATTGAAGAGAATACAAGAGCGAATGTAGGCGAAGAGAGAAGGGATGGAGTAAAAAGGGGTGGCGGACAAATAAAGAATGTCTACTAATATCGGTGACCATTCTATAAATGGAAGGATTGTGGAGATCATGAGAGCATACATAACAGCGAAGGCAATGGGCATCACAGCGATCGGATAAGGATGGAATGTTCGCTTCTGCATAGAGGCTCTCAACAGGGGAAGAGCGAAAAACACCAAGGCATAAACGTAATCCTTGGTGATGAAAGGGGTTAAGGCTAGAGAGAGTAGCATTATGGTCACCATAATCAAGTTTTGATAAAATGAGGGTGGAATGTAGGCGAAGGAGAGTTCGACGATC